ACACGCTCTGCCTCTTCCCCATTTCTTTCCCCACAAAGCAGAAAACCCTCCCTAGGTGGTAGGATTTGTTATTTCATGACATGGCAGCCCATTTCTAAGCAAAAAGGGAGCAACCCATCTAGTAACCGCAGACCTAGAAGGTCTGAATATCTGGAATATTAAACAGAGATTCAGGAAATCTATTTAAAATAAGCACTAGTTAAGTTGTGAGTGCATCACATAATMAAGCATTGTTTTCATACAGGTAAAAAGTGAAATAAACTTGGTATGGASTTGTATTCTGACAAGCTCAATACAAAATTCATTGGTAAGCATGACTCAAATGCAGAAAAAAAAGRAAAACTCATGACACATCTTAGAAGACAGAACAACTAAATACTCTGATAGTTATATTATCTCCTAAGTCATGAATGTAACTCTGTTAGTGTCTCACCCTTAAAGATAATCAAAAAAAGAAGGAAATTTTACTCATTAGCRTATACATGCTTGATATAAAATTATTTACTAAAATAAAACAATGTGTAATATAAGAAAGGAAGAAGTAAGAGGGAACTGAGAAGAGGTCTTTATCTATGTATCTCATGGGTCACAGTCAATGCCATCAGTGTACCAGCCGAGATTTAAAAGGAAGTAATATAACTTTAAAAAGGATGCAGAATGCACTACTTTAACTGTATTAAATTTCTGCCAAATTAAAGCACATTCCAAAACCCCTTACAATCAAACCTGTTACAAACSAATGCCAGAAGGGTTTGCAAATAGCAAGGGCCGCCTGACGCAGCTTACCTGGCATTTCTTTCAAAGACAGRTGAAAAAACTTCAAAGAAATTTTCTTTTGCTTCACTTTTGGAAGGTACAGAGTTATCAAAAGTGGGATCTATACTGTTAAATGCTCGTCGTTTCACAGGATCAGATAATATTTCATAAGCTGAAAGAAAAAAAAAACCTTTAAAACTTGAGACTAAAATGAGTCTTCCTAACAAGGTCAGGATGCTACAAACAGGGCAGTGTTTAAGTGTTTAAAAAGACGCTCTTGGATTTGTGTTTGATCATTGCTCTGTACACCTTTTTATTAATTAATTTGATGCTGCCTTAAATAACATCGCTGTCAATTCCTGTTAAAGTAGGTAGAAGAAAATATTTATGAGAAAAATAACACAGTCCACTATTAAATATAACTAGCCAGATAATACTTTAAAATAACTTTCTCCAGTAAATTCATAAATTCAGTTCAGGGTCCGGTGGGGTGGGCATAACATCTCAGGCTTTAGCACGCAACCAGACGCTTGCAGATAACTCACAAAATCGTCTATTAAGACGGCACTAATTTGACATCAAGACTTGCAAGAACAGAAGTTCTAGTACTAAAGAAGAGTAAGTAGAACAGGCAGGAAACAGGTATCCCCATTAATATTCTGATATTAGGATTTTTCYATTCAAAGTGAAGCTTAGTCACAGCTCTAGTGATTTGTGAACATCACCTCAAAAAAGCTCTGGTTCCAGTCAATTGTTTTATTTGTTTTTAAAATGCAGTAGYATATCTCTAAATAAAGGCTGAAAAGTTCATCAGCTTATCTAACATAACATCATCTAACATTTTTATAGGATGTCATGTGTGGAAAAAAAATCATGCTCATGAATTTGAAGATCTCTTTTATCATTTTCTATCTTTTTTTTTGTTTTGTTTTATCAATTAAAAAAATAACAAGGACAAAAAGATGAACTCCCCAGCAGTTCAAAGAGAGCAGCCTGGTTACACCTGGAATACCATAAAGTTTTGGAATTGGCAGGCAGAGGGGCTTCAGGTTATCATGAACGCTGTTCCACTGCRTTCACCGAGACATCTGGAGGCAAAAGAGAGCAGCTAAAGGACCTCATATCTCAGTCCAAACYAGCAGAAGCTCTGCTGGCAAACACATTACAGTTCAATTTTCCTAATGCCACTGGTTTCTTCCAGTAATTAGTTTATTTTATAGCATCCCCATTTATTGCAGATATGTGGCTACCTCTAGTGGTTCATCTTTGCATCCTCTGCTACAAACACTCACACGAGCTGCTCTGCTCTATGAGAGCGTGGCACGGCAAAGCAGCAGCTGCATCCTCGTGCTCGTTCCAACCAAATGGAAAATACCACAATGCGAGCAGTAAGTACTGAAGTACTGAGATCCCTGCTGGAGCAGGGGGTTGGACTAGATGATCCCTAGTGGTCCCTTCCAGCCTCAACCATTCTGGGATTCTGTGAAAAGGCAAAAAGCCTTTTTGGTTTTGTAGTAATTGACAGTTCTTCTAATACAGCAAGAACAACACACCTGAAAGAGCACTGCAAATATGTCTCAGATGATCAAATTGATTGGAATAGGTTCTAAGAAGAAAGGCCAGTGCTTACCCTTCGTTATGCAGGTGAAGTAATCGTTATCACCTTCTCCTATCTGCTCCCCTGCTGCTTTTCGCTTGTCTGGATGATGTTTCAAAACCATGGATTTATCTAGCAAATAGATGTGTGACATTCAGAAGCCAATAGATACATTCCAGCACCAACACGCTGCACATTCTGAGAAATAAGCTAATACAATGTTTTTTTTTCCAACTAGATACTTTTTAACATTGGAAAGGTGACAGAAATAAGTGAATAAACCTGTGTATTTGCTATGGAATGACATTGAAAAAAAAATATAAACTTAGTTCCAACTTTTAATCAGGGTCTGTCTTAGCATTAAAGCAATAAAACTGGATTTCAAACATGCTTCTTTGACAGAAGTTCTGGTGCCAGCACTTGGGAAACATAAACTGTAGCTCCTTGGCTGGCTAGAACATACCAGAGGAGTCACAGCCACCTGCTCTGCGAAAGAAACCCATGTGTCTCAACCCGTGTGTCCAATTTGGTGCTGCAGGATCCTAAAGGAGGTTCCTGCTCCGTGTGCTGAGAGAACAGAAGGCAACARGAGACACGGAGCTCTAGCTGTTATTTATGGAGCTCTGCTAAGAACTCCAAGGTACAATCAAGAGCAGAGGCAACAAAATTCTGTGTGCGTGCGCAGAGATACAAGCCAGCAACCCTCTGAGCAGGCCCCTGTGACTCCTCAGTGACGAGGAGCTTGTGCCTGTATGTGACATACAGCCCTGCACACCTGAGAGGAGGCTCCCCCTGAGCACAAGGTACTTACGAGCTGCTTTGATCTGCTTCTGGGTGGCTCTGTATCGTATATTTCCCAGCCCAAGAACTGCATAATGGTCTTGGTTCTGAGGGGAAAGAATAGCTCTGATAAACACTGATAAACGTGACCTAAAAAGACACAACACAACCCAGGCACAAACACATTCTGCCCTCCGCTGCCCCACTGTCTTTTAAAAGCAAAAGGAGGAATATTTTTCTCTCTAAATAAATCTTAGAAAAGGCTACAGAAGCAGTTACCTTAGAGCTCATAATTACTCATATTTTAAAGTCGCTGTTACTGAAATCCTAGGAGCTTAATTGGAACTAGATTAAAAGCATTGTATCTTAAAAAAACCCAATTAATAGAAAACTGAATTGCTGAATTTTGAGAGTGTTGGTGTGATTTCAGAAAAGGAGAGGTGGTAGCAGGGGGGAAGAGGCATTTTTACTGTCTACAGGCACCAATGGGATAAATAACAGTTGAAGATGAGGCTCTGCTTCTGATGTGCACTTGCCTTTGTCCTCATTACTCATGATTAGGCATGAAAATAGAGCCAGGTCCCTATCYTTAGGGATGCTGCACAGCTCAGACTGGGGGATCTGGGGCCAAGGGAGGGGATTTTTGGTGGCTGGGAAGGGCAGTACCTTTGCCAGAAGGTTTCCCACAAAACCAACAAACAACACCCGTGTCAAGTGCCTACCTTCCAGTCCTTTGGATCGAGGGTTTTTAACATAGGAAATTCTTCAAGCTGTAGCTCCTCATCGCCCGACTCTTCAGACAGTTCCTTCTCATCTTCCAGCTCCTGGAAAGAGGCAGAAACATTTATGTTTCTCCTCTTAACAAACGCTTCAAACCAGCGTCCCACGGGTTCCACTTGACAGAGCACTGAGGCTACAAGCAAAAACACAAGAGCAACTTCACTTTGCGGCTCCAGTTCACAGTTTTTTCACCCGCTGAGGCCCATAACGGGGGCACCGCGAAGGCCGAGCCCGCCACCCCCAACCTGCCCACAACGAGCGGGAACCGGGATCGCTCCAAGGGCTGCCGGAGCCAGCCGCTGTGTCCGGGCCACGTCGCGCCCGGGGGATCCCACCTGCGGCCGGGGTGGGAGCAGGGCCGCCCCGGCAGAGACCCGGGGCCCGTGCCCGGGACGGCGGTTCGGATCCAGGGGGATCCCGGATTTTTACGGCTCTTTTTCCCTCTCTTCCCGGCGGCGTAGCCCCCGGGACAGGGAAGGCGCAGGCGCCTCGCGGAGCGCGGGCGGCCCCTCCCGCCGCCCAACGGCCGCCCAACGGCCGCCCAACGGTCGCCCAACGGTCGCCCAACGGCCGCGCGGGGGGCGGCGGTACCTACCGGCCGAGAGCGCCCTGGTCACCGCCGTGCGCTGCCCCTGCGGCGCCCCGCGCAGCATCGCGGCGGCTCCCGCCGGGACCCGCTCCCGGTTCCGGTTCTGCTCCCGGTTCCGGTTCCGCTCCCGGTTCCGCTCTCGGTTCCGCTCCCCGCTCGCCTCGGCCCGCCGGTTGCCGGCAGCCGGCGCATGGAGGCGCCCGCAGAGAGCACTTCCGGGGCGGCCGGCGTTCGGCGGCCCGGCGGGAAACGCGGTCCGCGGCGAAGCGGCCCCCCCTCTCCGCGCGGCCCGCGCAGGGGCGCTCGGCCGCGAAGCACCAGGAGGCAGACCCGGCGGGSGGAACCTCCGCGGCGGTGCCGGCGACGCCGAGGGGAAAGAGATGAGGGCAGCACCGCGCTCGGCGAGCAGCGCCGGGGCCCGGGTGCCCCCTCCTATTGCGTCCCCCGGCGCGGCCGGAAGGTGCCGGGTGCCGCTGCGTAATGCATCCGGGTCGGGGGGCGCAGCGCGGCCGCCATGCCGGACTACCTGGGCGCMGACCAGAGGAAGACCAAGGAGGAGGAGAAGGAGGACAAGCCCATCCGCGGTGAGGGCGCGGGAGAAACGGGG